TCAGGCATTTCATCACGGACCATTCGACTCAAAGCTGAGAATGTGGCAGTCCGTTATGCCGCCAAGCAACATGGAGCTGATGCTGATCGAATTTCATCTACAACCATTTACGTGGACTCCGATGGAATGCTGTTTACCCTCAAGGAAGGAAGTTTACAGGCGACGACGTAAGAACGGCACAAATTGATTACACGTCACTTATAATCTTGTAGCTTTGATGCTGCGGTTAAATTGGTTCTTTTTCGTGCATGTTCGTCACTTCACACAGATGCTGTAACGTAAGTCAACAGTTTATGATCAGTGATGTAAGTGCATGTGCTTTAGATCTGCTACTGAATGCGCGGCACTAGGGTGCCGCGGTAGCAATTACCCTACATTTAAGAAAGCCTCGAACGCAAGAACTGTTGGCTTGGGCAAAAATAAATTGCCGCGCTCTATTCATGTCTCTCTCCCAGCAAACATAACAGGGCTCTCACTTACCTCAATACTGGACAACGATCGAATAAAGGCTCCCCGGGGCTACCACAAGCAGCAAAAAGCTCGCCAGATGAAGCGCTTTGCAGACCTTGCCCTCATGAGTTGCTGTCCTTTGGAGGTATTGTCGGCATTGTCAGAAGGCGCTTCTTGATCCGAGTGAATAGGCAGCAATTCACGCGACCCAAGCAATCACAGAGCTCAGAGCTGCAAATGATCCTCAATGGTATGCAGGTGCGTTGTGTACATGGTGTGCATCGGCCCTTGCGTGCCTGGAGGACGGAGATATCGCTAGTGTGCAAAGTAATCATCGAACATATCTTTGAGTTTTTGTCTGCAGGTCTGACGCAGATTTGTATGGAGGTGCCATATTTTGCTGTCGAGATCACAGGCACTGCCTGTGAGAATCAAACCACCGAGGAGAAGTTGGAAGTATGCGTGCTGAAGATACTGCGTAGAACACGTTACATCGAGAAGGATATTCGAGGGAGGGGTGCACGAAAAAAAGCAACGATATACTTGTGGTCCTGCAGGTATCTGCTTGTGCGTGCGAGGCATTGGATGAACTACTAAAATATCCAATACATTTGGCACCTCTTGCTGCGGTATGTGCCCTTCGCTACCAAAGCCCTAATTTGATTTTTCTGCGCTTGATAGGAACTTGTACTAAAAATGTTCCGATGGTACGCGAGTCGACTGCCACCCAGAAAACGTCTACTGCTCAAGTTTGGTGTTGAGCTTCTCAGCATATGTGGCAATCATGTAAAGCCTCTTTCCAGCCTTTGATCGAGCTTGGCTGTCTACAGGTCCATACTTTTGATGCTGTAGGACGTGGCCATGTGGCTGCAGCAGGCTCCATTATTTATTCTCGCGTGAGCTGTACGCGCAGAGCCATTGCACTAGTGGCCAGTGCATCTTTTTCATATCTGGTATTTGACATCGCAGTTCTTGAGGAGCTCAAATGAGATCTAGGAGTGCGGCAACTTCGATGGTGCGACAGCGCTCCTCTCTTTGATCTGCAGTATGGCAAATGCATGGGATCTTGGAGTCTCTCGTCGACAGGGAAGTGGGAGAGACAGCCGCTCTGCTTGCTGGAGTCGCGTGCAACTGGCGGCCTTAAAACTTCTTGTGTGTGGCTGCGTTCAACGTTGTTATCCTGCTTCTGAATATTGTCATCTAGATGCAAAGCGCTGACAAATGCAACTTGCACGAGCTTCGGGTCGAAGCACAGACACAATCTTTGTGGTTATCTGACATGCCAGTATCACGCCCGGAGTCGGAGACATCTAGCAGCTTATTTCATTCAGGTAACTACTTAAATGAAATCTTGCAGTGAGGAGAGGATTCATTAGGTTTGGCCTCAAACTCGACTCAAGTCTACCAGACTCCCGCCCTTTCTTCTAAGTTTCTCGAGTTTACACATTTCCGGTCATCATACTTTTCCACGGTTGAAGAGAGCAATGCAAATATGAGGTTGAATGGAGGCAGAGATACTTATCCTACTGACGAGGCTCGTGTTTTCTTCTTCGATCCCTTTCCAAAGGGGGGTAGAATGGACCTGGACGATAGCCGAGTGAGACGAAGTCTTCTGTGGGTCGAAGGTGCTCCGACTGTTCGATATTGGGCCCCAACAAAACTTTTAGGTGAACGTCACGCTACAGTGGTTTGCATCAAGAATCCATTGAAGATTAGAATCGTTCTGGTCTCTGCGCACCTTGATTTCTGTGGCATGGAGTGTGTGGCACACCATCATTGTTTCAAGGGTCTGGTGCTTGCGGTAGGCGAAACTGTATCGCTTTCACTCGATGCGTCACCGCTTCAGAGTGAATATGACATCGAGTTGCGAGGCGTCGATCTGCTCTTGATGGACGTTACACCCTCCATTGCGCAACAAGCGGCGAAGTTCATATCATATCGAACATCAACACCTTGATGATTAGGATACAGATCAATGCCAAAAGCGCCGGGCAGAAAACAAAGTTGAGTAACGTACGGCGCGTTGTTTCTCCGCAGCCTAGGCCGACTGTTGCTATCTCATTCAAAAAGACTATGGCTGGTAGTCAAGAGCCACCTGCCAGCTACATGCCTCACATAGCAGCTGGGTCTGCTCAAAAGATCCGAGATAATTCTGGTTGCATAGGTCTTCGACGATCCGGCCTGGGGAACGGGCGACTCTTCATGTAGTTGTGAACAACTTGAGCGACATCCACATCGACAAGTTGGAGATCTGGGCTGCACCTTATCGTCCTGGCGAGCACGTGCGATCTCTCCTTTTTTGTCACCCTGCTGAACCACAGTTTGGCGCGTCAGATGAGGTCTTAGAAGGCTGTCATCTTCCACTATCGCCATTCTTGACCTTCGAGCCTGACGAGCAGGATAGCCTAAGACAACAGCTCGAGGGGCATCCAAGATACTTACACGCTTCCATCCAGCTGCAGGATCACTTTTCGCGGGGATTCCTCGGTGGGCAGATTCAGTGCACAATAAGCTCTGGCGGTTTCACCCGGAATACCTCGGGCACATTCGCGTTGACTAAGAATTTGGGCCTTGTTTGTACGAAAATTGATTCTGAGATTGAACACTCTTATTATCACTTTCGCAATGATGCTGCAATTCCGTTTCAGGTTGGACAACTTGGCACCGATGTGTGGTACTATATCCGTTCAGGGGCACATAATACGAGACTCAAACTGCTTTCATTGGGCACACTTCACTGGCGTGTTGAAGGAGCACAACGGCCAGAGTTCGATGGCTTCGGGTATCTAGCGAGACCCAAGTCGCGTCTTCTGCCCAGGAACATGCCCGCCTAGGAAAATATATATGCCCCCTTCATGTAAAGAAGCTGAGTCCCCGGGCCACTGATTCAATCCGCATATGCATATGTAGTGATTCGACTTATTGAAGTTTTATTCGGGCTGAATGATGGTAGGTCGTCTAGCTCACTACCACCCCCTTTCTCTCCCTTCCTATATCTCCACGGCCCTCTCTCGCTCGCCGAGTTGCGGCCGCAAGCCATTGCTAGGCCAGGGCTTACTTCGCAGATCTCAGATCTTAGGTCGGCGAGCTTCTCGAGAGGACGCCCCGATGCAGACTTCTCAGTGGTGCCGCATATTTTCCAGTTTAAAAGTCTCAAGTTCGCGCTGAAACTGCTCATTTTTGCGAGCACGCTCTCTGTCCAGCGCAGCCTTTTGTTTTGCGGTTTCCAATTCGGCGTCTCGTTCACGTCGAGCCTACGTTGTCGATCTTGTCAGTATTGTCAGTACAAGTGAGCGCAATTGCACCCTGTAGACACGTCTTCTTACCGCCTCAGTTATTATTGGACGGTTCTCGTGGTCGTGCCCAACTGAGGATTCACTCCATGCGAGTGGCCGCGGCTGGCTGACTGCATGTGACCGGGGATCCTGGGCGTCACCATGCGCAACCACCCCCGCGTGATTAGCTTTTCCGCTCTGCGATCTGTTCGTCGATAAAGATCCACAATTGTAGGTCAAATTTCCGAAGCTGCGATTGGATGCTGGTGCAGCAAAATCACGAGATGAGCTCTGCTTGCGTGGAGGTAGTTGAGCCATGAGAAGCGGGCTCTTCTCTTCGAAGTAACGCCCCCCTTGAAGTCGATCATACTTGTTTGGCCGGGCAGGCAATGTCGCCGCAAGGTCTGCTTCCGCCTTTGATTTCCCCTGGCTTGAGCGGGCTGTCCTCGGCGGGGGTGCCCCACGTGGCCTTGCTGTCGGGGGTCGACCCGGGAAGTGCTTATCTGCGCCTGCAAACTGGGCAGCAGCTTCCTTGCAAATGAATAAATTTACCTGCGCTTCATCACGATTCTTAGGTCGACTTGAGAGCTCGACTCTGTTTTCATCATCATAATCACCGCATCTCCCCGACTTAGCATTCCTTTCGGGCGGCTCCTGCCGCGTACCGTGTGTATCGACAGCTTCCTCGCACGGAGGCATGCGGAATGATTCGAGCTGGAAACCCTTTGCAATGTCGGGGTCGTCACCTAACATGCAACACATCAAACAAATGGATGAATGCTCTATCGGACCTAGCAGTCCTATAGCCTGACGTGCGAGTGTCTGATCTGCGGCTTCCTCCACAGTACTAAATTGTCTAACCTTCAACGCGAGTGTGGTGGCTTCACGCTGCGGGACTATGGGCGGCGCATTTTGCCGTTCGAGGTGCCCCTGATGTCCAGCAGCAACAGCTTCTGCCGATGCGCCGTGTGCTAAAACAAAAGGATGTAAAAGGAGCTCATCAGCTGTTGGCCGCATACCAATGTCCCGAGAGAATGTTGACATTAGCAGACTGTGCAGATCCCTAGACAATGTCGACCTAAAACACCAATATCACTCCTAAACACGGAAATGCACGCTCGGGGCAAAACGGCATTGGAGGTGGTGCCTGCGAATTTACTATATGAAACATAAGTGCTGCAGGCGTTCCAAGTTGGAGGCTCTTCCAAGGAGGCTGCCCAGTGACCATCTGGAGAATGGTGCATCCAACACTCCAGATGTCCGCTTTTCTCCCGTGACCAGTTTGCATGATGACTTCTGGTGCCATGAAGTAGGGTGTACCGCGGAGAGAGTGGTTATCATTACCAATCGTGCCCATTGAATCCATCCGCTTTGAACTACCAAAATCTGCCAACTTAATTGTACCGCGATCGTCGACTAGTATGTTTGCTGCTTTGATGTCACGATGAATGACTTGTTGCTCGTGCAGGTAGTCAAGACCAACAAGCAGCTGCGCCACATACTTGCGCACAATTGCCTCCGAAAGACGTCCAAACTTGGTGACGAGCGCCTACGAGGCATAACGCGACGTGGATAGTTTCCTCCGCGGGCATCAAGCGTGCTCTCTTTCTCACTTGTATGGAACCACCTGGGACCCATTCCGTGAATATGTAGAGAGTTTGATCATCATCGCACACATCTGTCCCGAGGTAGGTTACAATGTTGGGATGATGTAAGGAACGCAGCAGCTCAATCTCTTCTTGCATCTGAACAAGCTCCTCCAGATCTTGCCTAATGAATTCACAGTGCAAATGTTCATTTCATCTGACACTGATATGATCTACTCATTTTTAGTGAAAAGAATCTCTTTGACAGCTATTATTGCCCCTGTGTCTTCTTCAAGACCCAGGTATACCCGGCCGTTAGCACCCGCTCCAATTAGATCGCCTTTGCGCCAGGAAATGCGCTCACTTATTTGAAAATCAAGCTCTGGTTTGTGGTTCGTAACAAGCGTCTTGTCTGCTTCTTCGATAGACAGAGCCGCACTCAGACCGCCCGGGTTGACTACAGACGTCTCTGAAACGACTCTACTTGCCGAGGAGGTTCCACAGCCCATGATGGGAGTTTTCGCCGGCCAGGTTTTTAAAATGAAGACTGGAGTACTTTCACTACTATTGTACCGTAGAGAGATAGAGAGTAGAAAGTTAGGATAGTTTACTACCTTCCTAACGTCGCTATGACGTCAGTCAGGCTACTATCCAGCAGGTGCACTGTCCGGCGACTGTGCAACCTCGCTGAGCCTGGTGCTACCTGGCACGTCGCTGTGACGCTAACCAGACAGACAGTTCGGGGTAGGTCTCGCTCAAGGTGAATAGCAGTGAAGCACCACTTCCCTGCTTGGTGTAAGTAAGTGCCAGGTCACGGTGTCCTTTCAGATACCGAATTAGCATCTGTAAGTACAAGATGTGTACCTTCTTGGTAGAGAGAAATACCCAAAACTGGGGTACTAAGGAACGTTGAGGTAAACGTTACGGGGTAGTGCAGTGTCATCTCCATAGTGTGACGTCGCGATAGTGAGGGAACAGGGTAATGTAAATTACGGGGATGATGGGGAATTACGAAGCTACTCAATTCAGGTAGATCCCTTTTTCAAGTTCACTACACTGACTACGAGGAATTCCCTTTTCAGGTTCAGCCTCGCAACTCTCCTTACGCATAAACCGTGGAGAATTAAAGTACAAGAGAGGAGAGGAGGAGCCTAACTAGGGATACTCTCAGGATCGGGATCCTCTAACTAGGAAAGAATTGAAACTTCAATTCTAGAGTTTGAAATAGGTCAGAAATGATAACATCAAACATCGGAGATCATCTATCTCAAACTGGAGTGCTCATAATCCAAAGAAATACTATACTCAATAAGACACATTCAATACAAGTAGCCAAAGAAGCATATTTATGGTCGGTTAGCATGAACGATGAGTTTGTGTTGAACGTAGTTTGACAGGATGGAATAGATGGAGAGAGTCCACGTCTGCGATGATCTTGCACCAGTCTAGTGGCTCTTCTAGCCATCTCCTGCCTATAAAGAGTCCTGGCAACAGTCAGTCAGTGTGCTACCTTACGGTAGCTCAGTCATAAGATAGTAACTGATTATAAAGAAGGGGAACGGGAAGGAAGGCCTAACTAGGGTAGGTACAGTACTAGCATGATGGTAATAGGGTAGTGGTAGTGTAGCGTACTGTACTACAGTATAGTCATGGAGATATAGAGATAGAGAGAGAGAGACAGACATCAAAGTCAGTCTATATTCTTTGCAGTAAGGTGCACTGCAACATCAAGGTGCAATTCAATGAAGATGAAGATAGAAATCTCTCTATCTCTCTAGAGAGATCGGTCGTCAAAGGTTAGTCAGGCCGAAATCCGCGATGTCACTTTCCGCGACGAACCGGGACGAACCCCGTACGCCTAAATATTCTAATCCAGTTTCAAGTCTTATAGACAGCGAACTGAAGGAGTGACTGCCAAGCAGGCATAGAGAGCACAGTGCTCCTCTGTGTCTGTGGTGCCTGTCTGGTTAACGTCACAGCGACGTGCCAGGTAGCACCAGGCTCAGCGAGGTTGCACATTTTGGGCGACGCGACCCAAATTTTCTCTCGCGCTGTGCGCGATAGCAAGCCGAGCCGAAGGCGTCCGTTTCCCCTTTCGTGGAGATCACACGTAGGTCGCTTCCAGCGCATTTACGACGAAAAATTTCCAAGGACAGCTTAAATTTTATCGCGCGCTTTGCGCGCGAGCGCTCTAAGATTGCCGTCCCGAGAGTGCGCGGGGAGCGCCGTGCGCGGCAAGAGGCCGACGTCGCGCGCGCGCTGAGGTCGCACTCCTCGACGAAGTCGTAGAGCATGCCCAAGATCGCCGCCGGGATGGCGCCCTGCTTGTTGTAGCGGCCCTTGGCCGCGATGACCGTCGCCCGCTCGCGGAGTTTCGTGCGCCGCCCGCGCGTCCGACGGCGGCGCGCGGAGGCCCATCATCCGCGGGTCGGGCTCGGGCTCGTCGCCCGCCGCCGCCGCGGTCTCGCCGGGGGCCGCGACTTCCGCATCCGGGGGCGGCGGCGCGCGCGGCGGCGCCGCCGCCGTAGAGCGCGTCGAATTTCCCACCCGGCCCCGCTTCGCACCGCCGCCCCATGGACCCTACGGGCTCCCCGGACAGAGATGGCGCCAGGCCCGGGGCTCTTAAGGGCGACTAAGGAGGGGGACAAGTCGCGAACTCAGCTTCGTTGGGTGTCCCAGGCCCGAGGCGTGGGCGGCGCCTCGCGGTGCTGAGGTCCCCTTTGAAGGACAAGCGGCGGTATTGAGGTCCCTGTTTAAGTGCAGGGGTTGAAGGTGGAGCCTAAGTCGAAGCGGCGTTTAACATATCCCGCCGGCGGGATATGTTAAGCAGGCGAGTCGGCGTGTTTGACCCGTCTCACGAGAGACCCCTGGGCCAATGTGCAAACAAAAGCTGCAAGAAAATCCAACCTCGGAAATCATTGTGAAGTTCGCGCCAGCTATTGACTCAATCGCGTTGGAACCCGAGCTAGGAGCATTCGGGGCTCGGAATCGCTGACATGTTGACGTGCGACTTGGTTAGATACAGGCCTCTAATTTCAGGAACACGCCTATGTTATCAAGAATCCGTGATTGGCATCGCTTCAAAACGCCAGCTTGATCCCACGGTGAGAGCCCAGGCAAACTTCTGTTTCAGGGTCTTGGAAAAGAGTTTTTCAATGGGGACGTCGCAACGTTTGCACCAGGCGACCGAGATGCGGGGGTCTAGGTAGTTGGCTTTGGAAGTGCCAAGAGAGACTTCTTTGTTCTCTTCCTTGTTGCGGAGGTCAATTTCAAGCTTTTTAATTTTCTCGGTCCAGATATCAATGCGCTTGGAGACATCCTTCTCATCGGGGAGCTTGGCAAACCGGTGAGCTTCAGCCTGTTTGGACTTATTTGCTTCACGTTTTTTAATCGTAGCGGCCTCATACGCAGCGGTTGCAGCAATCTTCTGTTCTTGAGTCTTAGCGTCATTCTTTAGCTTTTTAGCAGCGTCGACATCAAGCTGAGCTTGCTTGGTAGGATCTCGACCGGAATGAAGTTGCACATTGTCTTTGCCAGCCTTCAATGTTGTGCGCATGTTCTGCAGCTCGCGCCGCTGATCCTTTAACTGCTCCAGCTTTTCAGCTTGTGCTTCAAGGCCCGTAGCTGCAGCAGCCGAGACGGTGCGCTGGTGATTGCAGAGAATTGCAACGATACGATTTGCTTCATTGTACGCAATGAGCTTGTCGCCAATGGATCTCATTTCGAGAACATGCTCGGCATCTGGTAATTGGTTTTGGAGGGTTTCCGACGCGTTATATGTACGGAAAACCTTGGCGGTGAGTCCTGGCATGATTGATGAGAGATGCGCGTTGAGTGAAGTCGGCTCGATAAGCTCGAAGACCTGCTCGTTCTTTTTTTTGGACCGGCACATTTCTCGAATGTTATCATAGGCCTGTTGGCCATGTTCATCGAAACCAGCAAAATCGATTGACTGTTTGAATAGAATCGAGTCCTTGCCTAGGAATTCAAGGTCGACATCTTTCCCCGTTTTATGAAATGTGAAGTGTTCGACGCGAAGGCTGCAGCAGCCAACGGTGTCTGCCTCTTCTTCAGACTTTTCACCGCCAACACGGAGAGCAAGAGTGTCAATCAGCCACATAGTTGTGGCCTGCTGCTTAAGGTGGCGGTCTTTAGACTTGAGATTCTTGTGGTAGCCATGGCGCACGCGTTCAATGCAGCCTTTTAACTGCATCGCTTTTTGGAATTTTTTAAAGTCAGACTTTCCCTTGAGCGAGGAATTCGCTGCGAGCATGACATATTTATTGCTCTGCATCACGTTTTCATGCCAGGTTGAAAGCCAAGTCACCGTGTCATCATGCTTAATCTCACCCCAACTTCGGCCCAGCTCAAGGCAAATAGGCGGCGGTCGAGATGCACCGCAGTTAATTGATACTTGATCCGGTTCCACGCGCAACTTAACGACGCCTGTTTTCGGGTGCTTACCACGACCCCGGAATAGCGATGGTGGTTCCATGCGAAAATTCCCAACTTTCTCTAGATGATCATCCAGGATCGCATAGCCGCTCCGCAGCTGGCAATCATCTCGCAGCTCTCGCGCCACAACTTTTTCAGCATCAGATGCCGCTCGTTTGACAAATTTAAGACGATCAAGGTGTTTGCTAATGTCGGAGAAGTCGCATTTATCAAAGGACTTGATCGCGTGGCTTTTGCCGAGTACTTTGTGCCAGTCGTCCCAGAAGTTCCTCTGAAATATCTCTCGTTGCCCGCCCGACACCTGCCACACAGGGTAACTTGAGACGTATTTAGAAAAGTGATACCCTGCGCTACACGTTTAGCTGCGGTCCGTCTTCAGGCATTGCTGCATAAAAAGTTGCGAGTTCTTCTTGGTATGGCGTTAGCGAGATTGGCACGCCATCGTAGACCATTGCAATACCGTGTGGTTTGTACTGCGGTTCAAAGGTCATGCCACAGTGCTCTAGTGTCTGCCAGGCCTTACCTTCCGGCGGATCCGGTGAATTCCACCATTCGAAGGCGGCAATCCCCTGCTCTACGCGTTGCACACGCGTGAGCTCTTTTAGCTTGATCGCTTTCTTATTTCCCGCTGATTCGTTGTGCCCACTGCGCAGATTACCGGCGCTCTTCATTTTCTTGCGTTTCATCGCAGATATCTCCCCGTCAGAACCGGAGTCGTGGCAAGACGCTCTACGCATCTTCTTTCTTGTTCCCTTCCCCTTGTCCGAAATCTGCACCACGTCTTCAGCTCGATTCCTCACAACAGTTTGGTGGTTCAACCGTGACAGGGGTAGGTCGTCGCTGCTGCTGCTGTCTGACATCGGCCCAACCAGTTCTGCGCCTACGAAATTGCCATGGTTTGCGCAAAGCCGCAGGTGCAGATATGGCGGCCGGAATACCCGGTATGCGGTATGGGCAAAGCGGGACGGGTATATACCGGTATATACCGTCGGTATGGTCAATACCCGGTATATACCGGTATTTATGGAGTACTGCGACCCCTCTGCGGTCTCCCAGAGCCACCGCGCGCCGTGCCGGTCCCAATGCGGCACGCACAGGCGCCTTTCCGCTGATTAGAAAGGGCGGCGCGTCGCGTGCGCCGGCTTTCAGGCGCGTGGCTCCGAGTGGGGCGAATTCGAGCACGCGCGCGCGCGCGCGTCGCGCGCGGCGTGGCGCGACTCGTCGCGGCCGAGCCCCTGCAGCCGCGCCGTACCCGTCTACGGGATATGGCCCAAAACCGAAATACCCGGTATGGGAAAACGGGCCCGGGTATATCCCGGTATATACCGGCATTTTATCATACCGGTATTTACCCTCCGAAATACTCCGGCCGCCATAGGTGCAGATACCAGTAGTATACGCATTAACTAGGCTAGCCTTAGGCTATAGTCCACAGTCCACGCTCTGCAGCCCTAATTCACACCATGGTGCGCGCGTGGGATGGCCGCCGCGGTGTCCGCAGGGTCCGCCGGGTCCCCGCGGTGCCGCGACGACGTTCCTTCGTCGCGCACGACCGAGTTCCGGTGCGCAGGTCGCTGGAACATGACGGCGCGCCGGGCTGCGAAACCCGCTTTCGGGCGCGTTCGAGCGCGCCATGAGCTCCACGAAGCGATCCCAGCGTCTGCGGCTGCCCGTGCTCGACGCGCTGAGTTGCCTGGGACCTTGCGCGGACGAGCGCGCCTTGTGGACCCCCAGAAGATGGTGATCATCCCGTGGTAGTGCGCGCGAATGGGTGCATATGCAGCCCTTTTTCGGCGCATTTTTGCCACAGCGTCTATCGCCAAAACGCAGCGGCGCGCGCGCAGTGCGTGCCCCTCGGGTGTGACCAATTTTGGTGCACTAAAACTCAGATCACCCCGGGGACCGGGATGGCGCCCGCGGCTTATTTTTTGAGTGCATATGGTTTCTGCTAACATCCAAAATTTGGGCCTGGCTGTTGAATGGCCTAAGCATTTGAAGTTGGAGCGGGGTGAGGTGGCTGTGGCTATATTGAACTAAGGAAGAGGACCCCGCATGCTCAATTCAACTCCGGGTGGGCTTTAAAAATCAACCCGTGACCACGCCGCCCCGGGGCCCGGACCCCGGGGAAGCGGCGAGCTGGGAGAGGACCACGACAACCAGCGGTTTTGCTTAAATCAGGTCTTTGAAATTATTTTGTTTGCTCACAAGCTAGAACGGCAGTTTCTTTTTAGGTAGGCGCGAAGGCATGCTCACTGCCATCTATCCCTACAGGTGTGCCAGATAGCCACAAATTGCCACTCAGCTAAGTACAAATGGCCACTCGGCTGGCGCACAGCTTGGTTCTAGTTTGGACAGCAGGGACCAGGCTTATCAATTCATACCTGCAAGGGGGGCGGGTTCAAGGCACCTGTATGAGGGCGCAAATACTCACTCTTGAATAGTTGGTCTTTAGCCGTAGCAATCGCTTGAGACATAGACATATCGGTGATTGGCTGTGTTCCCTCAACGCCACGCATCAGTACGCGGCTGGTGATGGACTGCGGATCTGTCTCGAGAATCATCCCGCCATCAACCTATTAACGAAGGGGTAAGCTTTCATAACGCGTTCCGCAGTTACGCTAAGTTCTCGCAAGTTCATCAACAGCCAACATTACAGTTTCGAGATTTTCTAGGAGAGCTCTGCTCTCAAGTTGTCCACGAAGGAGAGTATTTAGAGCCTCAAAGAGACCATCAAGAACCAAATTCAAAATAATTTCATTCTAGAGTCATGATTAGATGACAAATAACGGATACACGTGGGGGACACACCTCTTCTGCGGATCCAAGAACATAAAAACGTGTGTCCGCACCACATCTGAATATTGCCTATGCACTTGCTTTCAGAAATTAAATTGAACTACTGCCCTAGGGTAGACGATAGTGTTATCGAGCATGATCACGTCGGCATCACTTCTTGCGGTATTCGTATTCTTTGTTTTTTTGAAAAGTTTCGCTTCAAATTTCGACTACGAGCGAGGTTTCAATCCAATACTAATGCCATAATCCGTATCACATACCTTCTCTAGTCCCGTTCCAAGAAAACCCTGGTAATACTTGGCGATGATGCGATTCCCTTCACTATCCAAAAGTAGAACCGCCAGCACTGAAGGGACCAAAGTATCGCCACTCGCGAACTTCGACATCGGTATAATATATTACACTTACAGATATTAAATTTTCAGCATTATCTGGTAGAAGTTTCCGTCCACTTAACCTTTCGTATCTCCCACTGGCCCGAGGCTAAAGGAAGCAAGGTAGACCCCTCCCTCGGGGGGGGGGGGGGGGGGGGGGG